TTTTTTAAAATGTCTCAGGAAATTATCAAGAAGGTTCGTCAGTCTTATACCTTTAAAGAGAAAGCCAATATCGTTCGATATACTCTTCATGAAGGCAATTTTAGGGCCGCTGCCAAGTTTGGTTTAGATAAGACTCAAGTTGGTCGTTGGGTAATGAAGTTAAAGGATAAACTTGATGAGATTGATCATAGCAAATCTTGTCGTCTTGAAGGCGGTGGTAGAAAAAGGTTTTTTTCTAACGAAGAAGTGCAGCTTTATAGGTGGATGTCTGAAATATGTAGTGCAGCTCTTGCTGTAACATACAATAGTCTCAAGTTTGAAATGTTAAGAATCATCTCTGAAGTGGCATCAAAAAGTAATGATCTCAAAAAAAAACAACTTGCAAGTAACTTCAAACCATCCTCAATGTGGTTAAAACATTTTTTAAAGCGTCATAATCTTGCCTTACGCCGCAAAACGAAAATAGCACAAAAAATGCCTACTAACCTTGAGCAGCAATTGCTCGATTTTCAACAATATGTAATTCGGTTACGCCTTAAGAGAGACTACTCTCTGAGCAATATCACAAATATGAACGAGACTCTCGTCTGATTTGACATGACTGGTGATCTGACTGTTGAACAAATTGGTGTCAAAACAGTCCATATACATACAACTGGTAATGAGAAGAATCGCTTTACTGTAGTTTTGACGAGCTTTGCTGATAGACAAAAGCTCCCACCTATAGTTATATTCAAGGGCCAAAGGTAGGCTAAGACTAAGGCTTCTCCTCCTCCCAGTGTAATTATTTTTTTTCATGAAAAAGGCTGGATAGATGAATCTGGTATATTATCATGGGCCGATAATTATATAGCAGATCGTTCAGGTGGTCAGGAAAATGAACCCTCTCTTCTTGTCTTTGATTCATTCAGAGCACATATTACTGATGCAGTTAAAAAGAAGCTTCAAGAGAATAACAATAACCTTGTTGTAATTCCCAGTGAGTTAACTTCTGTGTGCCAACCACTTGATGTTTCAATCAACCGCCCCTTCAAAGTAGCACTTTGTAACCACTAGCATAAATAGATGACAAATAGTGGGTCTGGCAAAACTAAAAAAGGAAACCTTAAACGCGCCGAACTATATATAGTTTGTGAGTAAGTACTTGCTGTGTGGGCAGAAATTGATCCTGAGATTATTCGCCATGCCTTTCGCAAGTGCTCTATTTCTAATGCTATAGATGGATCAGAGGATAGTAAGATATATCATGATGAAATCCTTAATAATACTAATGAAGCTAATGAAAATAATCCTGATATGGATTCTGATGATTTAGGTGAAAATGAGGAAGATTTTGAGTATAAAGAAAATCATGATGCAACAATTGAAGAAAATGAGGATGTTCTTCTTTTTACAATAGATTAATATAGAATGTATGATTTAAAGATTTACAGTCGTTTAATAAAGTTTAACGATCATGCTTTATTGCAAAATATCGTAAGTTTGTGGATATGATCATATAATATAAAGTAAGCATAGAAATAAATTATGATTCAGTAATCAGAATATCGATTTTTATACCACTCAATTCTTCGTAACAAAAAGAATTGAGTGGTAAAAAAATCGCTATTATGATCACTATATGATGTAATATTCGTACTATAAAAATATTTTATTTGACATCACTTCCAAAAAAATGTGCATTCTGTGCATGAATTAATAACTTATGCGGGTTTATCGCATTTTACAAAAGTTTTTGTATACGAAACTTATATAAATCAGTGAAATCCCATTTCTAGTCTGAAGGCATATCGATATATTAGGCGAAATAAATGTTTAAATTGTTATCTAATTGGGAATTGTTTAAATAAAGTCATGATCTATATATTAAGTTGTCCATTAATAGTATCTTTGATGGCTCAGTTCAAATAAATTCTTGATCATGCTAAAAAAAAAAAGGCATTTTTATTGGTTCCGAACCAAAATTCTAGGTTCGGATAATTTGTATAAAGGTACTCGAAATCGGGGGTAGCTTATATTTGGTAACTAACAATTTATTTTATTTTTCTCATTTTTGCACTCAAAAAGTGGGGGTAGCTTTTATTCGGGGGTAGCTTCTATTCGGTAATATACAGTATTTTATTTTTGTATTTATTTGTAAAATTTAATTTAAAGTTAATATATTAGGGTTGGAGGCATAGTAGCCCAGAGTATGCCTCAGGGTAGAGATTGGAACCGGTTTAGTATATCAGATTTTTAACCGGGTTTAATCGTTTCGAATTTTAAACCAGGTTAAAAAATTTTTACTCCAATAAACCGAATATACTATAACCGGTTATATCTGATTAATCGGTTTTTACAACCGGTCCGATTCGATTAATTGGTTTATTATAACAGGATCTATCTGATCTATATATTCAATTAATCAGTTTATTACGAAAAGCACTGCACGCATGTGTACAATTTCATTTACTATTTTTTTTGGATGCATCTGGCTAATAGCGCCAGGTATTGAACTTTATTGAATGATTTTGCATAGAATATGCCGCATACATCAGTATATTAATGTACAAACTGAGACGGGATATAGACCCAGAAATAGCCACCAAGATGGTGCCGGGTATCTCCGTCATCAGTTGAATTTGTGATGCGTAACATCAGTCGGTAGTCTCCTACACTGCATAACGCAGGCTGACTTTAATATGAAGATTTAAGTTACCCGAAGTGGCAGGATTCCACTTGACCTCCCAACCTTGCAGTGGGTGGGTGGGATCGGGTGTGAATATTGAACGTCTTTTGCAATCGCTGGCATAGTGCTCTCCCTATGACTGCTTCTATTCCTTTTATCCTAACCCGTCATAATGCAATTATTAGTCATTTGCATCTCAAATAAGCAGTTGATTATGTTCTACTTGTCTGAATTCATATGTCCAATCTTACAGTATTAAAGTTAATTATGCCTGATTAGGAATATTAGTTGTTTCTGCCAGTTCTTGCCCGTAATCTGGCTTGAACTGGATCGCAGTATGATGTTGGCGTACCCCTGCTTAGCTCTTTTCGATCTGTTGACTTATGTCAACTTGAATTATTCATCTATTAAATTGATGCGAAAATACTCTACAATATATCAGGTTGG